ATTCAGAAAAATAAAGACCTCGTGGGGTGGTATGCCTCTGGACTGGCGCAGCCGTTCACCAAAGACGCCTATCGCAAAAGCCACATGGATACGGAGACCATGTCCCTGTTCCATACCGCACACATGTGGGACTATACACCCAAGCGTTGGAGTTTCTGGAACGAGATCTTTGGAGATCCCGACAGGAAAGCTTCAGAGCGGGAGGCGAAACGGCTTGAAAGATGGGTCAGCTTGCAGCCCATGAACATGATCATCGAGGGCGTCAAGAACAAAGTGTTGCCGGAGATGAAGGGTGAGAAACCAGTCGCGCGCCTCAATTTCTTCGCCGCTTTCCGTCTTTGCGTCCGAGTCATGGAGCGCTTCGCGAAAGATCTTCCCAAGGTCGCGCGTTTGAATGTGAATAAAAGTATGCTCCTGCAGGGGGCCGGGCTTGGATGCCTATATGTGGACATAATCTTGGATGACTTTTCGGCGCAATTGGACGACGACTACGCTCGGAGGCACATAGAGGAGTTTCCTGGCTTGCTTGAGTGTCGTAGGATTTTCGAGAGCCTGCAGGAGAATTTGGATGTCGCGAGCTACTTGTGGTCTTTCTGAACGCTGGCTTCATTAGCATAACCCAGGAGACATGGATGAATTGACTCCTTCTCTCGCCTAGAATTGCTGATGTCTTTCATTTCGTTGCCCTCTTGCTTTCCAGAATAATGGCACATGACCTACCTAGCAGATCTGCTGTGCCGCAGAAGCCTTACTTACAACATGTGGTCCGCAGTTGGGCAAGGCAGAATTCAGAGCTCACATGATCAGATCATCAGCCATGAACACGAAAGCCAAGTAAGCCTAGCCACTAAAGATTGTCACTTGTCAGCATTCTTCAATCCTTCCTTGGACTGATGGGGCGGCCCGTCACGTAGGCAGGGCGTAAAGAGCTTAACCGACCAGCTGCAGCGACGTTCATCACGCTTTACCCGCAGGATTTAGTAAAGCTTGGCTATCGAATCATGGGCGATATAATGCGCATCCTCGGCTAATATACCTAAGCATCGCCTCATCTTGCAAGCTTATAAACAGTGATCCACTCTTACGATACCTATGGAAGAAAGAGGTCCTCCATATTCTCACTTCAGAAAGAACTGGCACGCCAAGAAACGGTCATGAGCAGCACTCAGAATAAGGATTTCGACCCCTCCGTCTTTAGCCAAGACACCACCGTCGGCTCCGACACCGCCTCCGTCCGCCCTCTCATCCGCGACGCCGATGATGCCGGCGCTGGTTCCGCTTCCCTCCGCGGTACCGACCGCCAGCCTGTCGCGACCGACAACTACCACATCGTCTCGACGCGGGTAGTCAAGGAAATCCCCAAGTCCGCCACCAAGCCGCCCGCAGACCCAAACTCGGCCTTCAGCAAATTCAAGAACATGCTGAAGCCGCCCGTCGTGAAGGCCGTCGAGGCGCTGCCTAGCACTGAGGGCAAGACATATCACGTCGATGAGCAGGGGCGCATTATTGAGACTACGGTCAGAAGAGCAGGTAAGACTTGCGAGTGCCAGACCACACTGATAGGACTACTGACATATTGTAATGCAGCTGTACAGAAGGGCATTCTATCTGCTGGAACTGGCGACAGCGGGGGCGTTTAGACGGTACATCCTGATTCATCTTTTCAATTTGCAATAATTAATTATGTTAATGCACTATCTGATCCATTAAATCGTTCTTCCTCTTCTTCCTCTCCAACCCCACCCCACCCCCCCTCATCCTTCAAGAAAATTTCTCTGTACGGCGAACAGCCAGAACTTTGGCAGCAATGGATGGATGTTACCTTTGAGAACACGGTGGCGAAAGCACAACAGGTGTGACCGTGCGCAAAGTTTCAAGTTTGGCCCAAGCTTGTCTTGACATACAAGGTGAGGGCATGTATGGCCGGCGTTTTTGTGTGTTGGCTAAAGCTTCGGAGTTACCAGAGTTCCTTGATATCTAACCTTGATATTCACATAAAAAAAACCCCCCAAGAAACAAATCTGACTTTAAATATTTAGTGCCCTTCTGCTCAAGTTTCTAGTTCACTTTCCATCACCCGCCATTCTACACAATCCAGTTCTATTAGTCACCACGTTCCAGAGCCTATAAACCACTGCCAAGGACGAGCAATATTTCGCCCATGAGTCTCCCTTTATAATCATGCCATTCTATATGGCGAAGGAGTAGCAACTGAATCAAAAGACTGATCCTTGCAGGCTAATCGAAAAGAACAACGAAGTACCGAAGGTCTCTTACCTTCTCAGAAATCCGCTCCTGCGATTAGTCTGCTCATCAAAAACAGAAAACCCGGGGAAAACAAAAGGAAAAAAAAGAAAAAAAAAAAAAAAAAAAAAAAAACCNAAAAAAAAAAAAAAAAAAAAAAAAAAAAAAAAAAAAAAAAAAAACCACCACAGTAATCATGGCGGATTGCTGCGATGCTCTGGCCGAAGTTTATGCCCAAATGACATTGGATATCCTGCAGGCTTTGTTCAGAGTATGTGTCATGGAGCGATCGGAAACCATCATTCGCCATGGCCGCCGCATCCAAGACCAGCTTCACCTGCCAGTATGCATGCGAATCATTGCAGACTTTGATCCAGGCATAACAGAAGGCTCTATGTTTTTTGGCTTTGTCTGGCTTTACTTCTGTGTTGTGATATGGATCCTCTTCGGGCTTCTGGTGAGGATTACCCGGGGCCAGGAATCTCCCTTCGGCTTCCGTGGAGTATTCATTCCTCCGTTGTTCTTCGTTGTTGTTCTTTGGGTAATTCTTGTGCTTGTCAATATTTGGCGGTCATGGCGACGGCCACGAGTTTTACCCGAAGGTGACGAATCACCGTTGACTTGGAAAAGCGGTGCTGAGATTTCCATCGTTTGACGATGTCTCCACTATCAGCAGTAAACAAACAGCTCCTCGAAGGTTATGCCGATGGACAAGAATATGTTCAAATAGTTATCTATTAGATGTCAAACTCCCATAAATTTGTACTCCAAAGACTTTTGATACCACTATGCTAGCCAGAACCAGAACTTTTGCAACATGTTCTTCGGGATCGGCTCCTCGTCGAGATCCGCCATGTCCTCCATCTCCTTCACGCCCGTGATGACGTCCACATCCTCAGGACGCTTCGCGAACGGCGTGCGGAACCAGATCTTGTGGCCGACGTACAGTACGAAAAAGATGGGCAGGGTGATGTACGCCGCCAAGAAGTCCGAGACGCTCCAGTGGCCGGGGAAGAAGACCTGGAAGCCGTTGGTGAGGGTGAGGATGCAGAGAATGAAGAGGATGAACCAGGTGAAGTAGGGCTGCAGCGGGGTCTTGAAGGGCAGGCGGTGCATCATGTTGTGGAAGATCATGGCCTTGCGGAAGCGCAGGTAGGTAATCATGACGACGATCCAGGCGATGAAGCCGCTGATGGTGCTGATGTTCATGAACCAGGTGAAGACGGTCGAGGTGCCGCTGCTGACGGTGAGGAAGGAGAGCAGGCCGATGGACCAGGTGCCGAGGACGGCGGTGTAGGGGACACCGCGCTTGGTGGTCCTGGTGAAGAAGCGCGGGGCTTGCTTGTTGAGCGCGAGACTGTAGAGGATACGGCTGCCGGAGTAGAGGAAGGCGTTGCCGGCGGACCAGGCGGAGGTGAGGATGGCAGCGTTGATGACGTGGTTAAGACCGCCAATACCGGCGCGCTGGATGCCAATGACCCAGGGGGAGGCGGCGGCGTTGGAGGTCGGGCTGAGGAGACGCTCGTCGTTGGAGGGGGTGATGGCGCCGATCATGAGGGAGCCGAGGCCGTAGAAGATGGCCAGGCGCCAGACGAAGCGGCGGGCGGCCTTGGGGATGTTGCGACGGGGAGCAACGGTCTCACCAGCGGCGAGAGCGATCAGCTCGGGGGAGGTGATGAAGGCGAATCCAGCGCGGACGAAGGCGGTCCAGTAGGCCAGGAATTTGCCTGTATTCCCGTCCACTAGGTATGGTGTAATTGCGCCGGGGTCGTACCAGTACAAGAAGCCGATGCGGCCCTCATCGGGGGCGCCGCCGAGGATGATGACCACGCTGACAAGGATCAGACCCAGGATGGTGATGAGCTTGATGCTCGCGAACCAGAACTCGGCCTCGCCGAAGATCTCGACAGCAAAGATGTTGAGGGCGAGGGTGACGAGGAGGATGATGGTGATCCAGACGGCAGGGTGGACGGGTGTTTGCCAGTAATCGAGGAGGATGGCGCCGGCCGAGGCCTCGGCGCCGACGAGCATGGCGTATGCGTACCAGTAGTTCCAACCGGCGGCGAAAGCCAGACTGGGCTCGACGAAGCGTTCGACAAAGTAGGGGATCGAAATGCCCTTGAGGGGCAGGTAGGTGGCCATCTCGCCGAGGTTGTTCATGATGTTCCACACGAGCAACATCATGGAGAGGTATCCCATGAAGAGCGGCGCAGGGCCGACGGCGGAGAGGATGCTGCCAGAGCCGACGAAGAGACCGGTTCCGATGCTTGGGGTGAGGTCAGCTTGCGTTTCTAGGCGCAATTGGTAGACAGGGAATGAGAGAAAGACTCACGCGCCACCCAGAGCCAGGAACTGAATGTGTCGACTCTTCAAGCCACGCTGAAGCTGGTCATTGTCCTCGAGCAGGTTGGGCTCGCCGCTGAGAGCCGCGAAGTTGACGTCGCGGGGGTAGGACTCGCCCTGGTGCTTGGACTCGACGTCGTCCATGGGACCGCCGCCTCTGTAGTCTTTCTCCATTGCTGCTCAGCCGGGCGAGAACAAGAAGAGAAGATTCGGAGTGGTGGTGGTGGAGTGAAGGAGAGGACGAGGGACGAGGAGTGTCTTATTTGAAAAAAAAAAAAAAATGGTCGCAAATAGTGTCGGTGGGCGTCCCCGGCGCAACCACGGAACGATTCTAGAACGCGGAGAGGAGCGCGAACAGAAGAGAGTAGACTAATCAATTTTGTCAAAGGACTCGAGGGGGACGGGCTGCAGTATTATGGAGTCTCGGTCTGGGGGCAGCGACTTGGCCAAGAGGTCGAGTGCATGTTGGCTTCGGGGTGGATGTCGTGAGACATGAAGACCTTTGTACCGGGACTGAGCCAAGCAACGGAACCCGCACCTGTGGGATTGCCCGTCAGCTGTGTTGCGCCTGAGGAGCACTCCAGCAGGTAGGTAGGATATTGAAGCCAGAAGGGTGTTGCTGGGTGACGTAGGGAATCTGGAGTCGAGAGTACGACCCTTGAAGGCTCTGCAAGTGCTTGGCTGCTTGTCGAAAACCTAGGTAGGTACTGCGCAAAAGTGGATGGAAGTTGCTCGGCACTGACTGGGTGGGCGCCCTGGACGCGGGCAAGCTTCGCGACGGGGAAACGCTAGGCCCGAAACGGCAGCGGTGGCAGCCATCAGTTGTTTCTGTGTCGTAACGTTTTCAGTGAACCCATGGGGTAACGCACTCGGACGGAAGGCTTATCTACTTGGCGGGCCAGAATGCCCACAGTTGCTGGTGCCAAGCTCCACGGACATATCCACCTCGGTCTCACGCTCGGGAAAACGTGCGATAAGAAATATTCCATTGCTGATGCTGCTGACCGACGAAGAGACCGTAAATGTAACTGACCGAGTGCCCTGGTATGGATGGCATGGCTGAGGCGAGGAAACGGAGAGTTTTGCTTAGCGTCAAGAAGGTCACCCGATCCGGCATCCGATTTCCCTTTTTTTTTTTCCTTTTTTTTTTTCCCCCCCTCTTTCTTCGCCCGCCGTACCTGCACCAAAAACGCAGGCAAAGATGGGCTGGCCTTATCCACAATCTCTACGTGGCTTACATAAGACTACCCCTCACCTCGAACAGTGAACCCCATATCACGTGCTTCACTGATCCCCGAAAGAGCGGGTCCCAGACGGAGGAAACACCGATGGTACCCGCTCACTGCCGCGTCTCTGGAGAAGCATCACGTAAAACTTTGACATTTCTGACCACTTTCTCCAGAGTCCCTGTTAATTGCACCACGTTTTTCTCATCAAATCGCTCATTCTTCAAACCCTATTGCCTCTCGGCCCTGGGGAAATCGATCAGTCCTCTCATTGGCCCATCTCCAGCTTTCACCGTTGCGCCCGAAGGCCGACAGTTGCAATCGCCGAAGGATGAACCAGACGGCGGACTGACTGACAGCCTGCTCCACGTGAATCGCGTCGCGCCCTGTTCGCTGGGTGCAAGTCCTGAGCCGCGCCCTCGATAAGAATCGCATGATTAGCACGCAATTTGCCGTCCACTTTACACAAATGAGCTGTAGTCCCACGCCTGCGAATGATACAAACCCAGGTTTCCGTGAGAATAATCATTTTGTCGCATGCAAACTCAACGTCTTCTATGAGACAAGGGGCCGTAAAAGCTTATCAACACACGCATGCACAGCGCGACGGGATGGGGGACCTGAACTGGCATCCATACCGCCGCCCATCGGCATCTTGATAACCAATCCCCCGCATGCTCTGCTCTAGTTCCGGTACAGCACCCCAAACTCCCCGGTCCTCCTCCGCGTCCGTCCAACGCCACGAGTGACAGGGAGACGGAATGGTCGACCGACGACACACTAGCGTTCGTCGGAGACCCATACCGATCCCGATCCCGACTTTGATGTGATATCTGCCGCCTGTCTGCCTACCGCCGTTGCGGCTCAGACGACCTACTTCTTGGTGCCCCCGCGAGAGATACGAAACATTTACGTGGCTTGACTCAGCTACTCTGCTTTTCCGTCGCAGTCTAACGTCATGGACCTGATAACGACGGGACGAACCCCTGTGTAAGAGTCCATTGCAACTCCACGTCCTCCACGCCCTGCCACGACCCGACATGCCATGCTCCTGCGACTAACACCCGAGCCAAACGAATCAACGATACCCATCAAATGTCTCCGGAACGTTCGGGGAAGATTGCCTTTTCGGATGTCGAACACGCCTTGCAGCCTAGTCGCGCCCTGCCGCATACCTGATACGGACCACCTTTTACATCCGGAATGCCTTGAGAAACGAGTCTCTGATTACGCTAGCAATTCTCCCAGCCTACACCCAACCTCGACGACAAGCCAGAATTCTTCCTTCGACATCACGAAAAAAGCAACTCGAAGGTATTCCAGATGAGCGTTCAACACCCACGACCTGCCATCAACCACCCTGTCCGCATCAGATTATGGGAACAATACACTGCTGCAGTCGCCACCGCCGGTAGCTAGAGAAAAAGGCCAGGTTGGAGAACAACAGAGAGCGGACCGAGGAAACAACCCCATCTGTTCATGAACTTGTTCATGCTTCAACTGAAGAGATGACTGACGGGGTTCGAACCCACTCCAACCATAATGTGCCAGCCAAAAGGCTAGGCGAATTTGCTCCACATCGTTGGGACATTCACTTGCGTCAACGCCGAAGATGACGCCGTTGAAGACCATCACCTGCGAGAGCACAAATCACTTCAAACACCAACGGAGTCTATTATGTGACTGTGAGAGTTTGCGGCCAAATGGCATCTTGATGCTCCCAGAACCACTTCGCATCATGCGCGAGAACGACCTCTACCATACTCCCCTCAAATCCATGCGTCTTCAGTTTTCGAATCCTGCGCAACGTATCCGTTGCCACTTCCTTGTCGGCATGGATGCAGACAGTCATCCCATTCTCGGACCATGAAGCCATATCCGTCAATCCATCGAGTATCCGGGCGTGGTGACAAGCGTCGCCGGCAAGGTACACCCATCCCTTGTCTGCCACCCGCGTTAGAACGTTCAAGTGTCCCATGAGATGTCCAGGGCTGTCGACAATGTAGACAAGCCCGTCTCCGAACAAATCTATCGCGTTGGGAAAGGGGCCGACTGGCCGCCACTCATGGTTGATATCCGGGATTATGGCATCAAGCCCTTGCGTTGGTGGGATGTTTGAAAGCGCAAGGTCTGCATTGTAGCTGGGTAGAGGGTTCATCTTGCTCCTTTGAGTTCCCAGTTCAATGGTTCGCTCGCCTGGGAGCAGATCTTTCTCAAATTTCGCCGCCGAGTGGTATTTCATACCGTGCTCTAAAAGATGGCGAGTCCCGGACCCGACGATGAACTTCGCCCGAGCAAAGTCTTTTGGGTTTCCCACGTGGTCGTAGTGAACGTGGCTCAGAATAACGGCGTCGATATCGTCGGGTCCCAAATCACCCTTGCGCAGCGAATCAGAAACATCGGGTTCCGTGTGGATGGGTTGCCGAGTCTTGAGATGCGGTTGAATATCAGGAGGGTAGTCGTTCAGGTTCTTTCGCATGCCCAGATCGAACACGATTCGGGTCCCAGTCACGGGATGCTGAAGCAGGAATGACATTGATGGGACAAGATTTCGGACCGTTTGGTCATGTTGGTCTGCGCAGAAGAAATGCTCCGGAAGAGTGAGGAATCCACTGGGGAGCAACGAAAGCTTCACAAATGACGTCGAACTATCGCTTTGGGCCATTTTGCATGGAGGGAGTAATCGCTGAAGATGGTAACACGACACAGATTTTTGGTCACTTACAAGTTTACCTGAACACGAGCTCAGTGGCAATGGTCGCTCATCATACCCAGAGTATCAAGGCACGGCACAGCTAAGATGCCTCAGCTTCGTTGGAGATTTGTGGAGGGTGTTGGAGAGAGTTGGAGAGATGGAGATGCCTCGACATACGAGCAATTTCATTGGTCGAGTCTCCAACAAGCACCAACGCAGGCGTAGGAGGTCCACAACCTCCAACGACTGAATGGACAATGTTGGTTGAGGTTTTGGAGAGTGTTGCGATTCGAGCTTCTCCATCTTGTTCGATTCGCGGCAAAGAATTCTTGCGAAGGTCTTCATGCCGACTTGAATACGTGTGGGGCGTCGGATGTGGAGTTCCGGCGAGTTCGACTTCGGCGCCGGCTCTGGAAGCCGAAGGTCTCGGGAGTTCGGCAGTTGTCACCAAACTACCACACAGGTGAGTCAGCTTTAGCGGCAATGACGTATTTGTTTCTCTCCAATTCATCCCATTGTTTACTCCTGCTCCCTCGTCCCAACTTGACCGCACAACAAACTCCAAAGGCTGCATAGCAATCATCCTGCAATTCTACCCTCGCCAAGAATCTCCGTCATTTACAACACCAAACTGTGCGGTCAGCCCAGGTTTCCATAAAAAAGAACCAGGATGTCAGGTGCTAGAGCCATTGTCAAGACCTTGGACCATCTCGTGCTCACCTGCGCGAGCGTTCCCAAGACCGTATCTTGGTACAGTACGTACCTGGGAATGAAGGCCGAGACGTTCACCTCACCCTTGGATCCCTCGGTTCAGAGGACAGCACTCAAGTTTGGTCCGCACAAAATCAACCTCCATCAGCAAGGCAAAGAGTTCGAGCCCAAAGCGAAAACAGCATTGCCCGGCACAGCGGATCTCTGCTTCCTCGTACAAGACGGCACAAACCTCGAGGAGCTTATTAAGGGTTTCCAAGCAGATGGCATCCAGGTGCTCGAAGGCGAAAAGGTCGTCGCCAGGACCGGAGCACAAGGCCCTATTCAGAGTGTCTACGTTCGGGATCCGGACGGAAATCTCATTGAGTAAGATCCCACATCTGAACCACTTGCCAGGAGATGCTGACATATTGAACTCCTAGACTTTCTCATTACAAGTCATGAAGCTCAGGGTCCTAAACGAAGAGACGGCACAGGTCATGACGTTTACCTCACATCAGGACGCTGTAGGCCGAGTCGATGTGGCTGTATTTCTGCCTCAAAATCTAGTACTCAATTTTCAAACTTGTTCTGCCGGATGAACGGAGTGATCGACGTACTTGAATAATTTCTGCATGCGTAGTAAATTGAGATCTCTACAGGATCCTGGCCAACTTGCAAACAAGCCCAACCACTAAGATACAGTTATTGAAACCTGCTGTTGCAAGGCCATTGACTTCGGCGATCTTCAGCCTTTCCCGAAGGCCCTAATGCTGCGGAGCGGGGCAAACGCGGGGGCTGCGGGGAAACCTGTTCATCATCCTTTCCTTGCCGAATATTCGGCGTTCCGTTTCACTTTACACCCTTGGTCTATGCTGACCTCACTTCATACGGGAACAACGCTTGATGTTATCTTACCCACAGGAAAGCAATTGACGACCCAAGAATGACCACCCAAGCACCGGCAGTTCACCGCTGCGTACACTGCTCTCGCGAGTTCAACCGCTCGGAGCATCTAGTAAGGCATGAACGCACGCGTGAGCAACCCGATGACTGCATGTTTGACAGTGAATCAGACACTAATACGAAAAACCGTGCAAGACACAAAGGAGAAGCCATATAAATGCACTCTTTGCCCGCATGCCTTTGCCAGACGAGACCTGCTCCGTAGGCATGAGCTTAAGGCCCATCGCCGCGGACAGCCTCCACGAAAAGTTACCAAAACAAATCAAAATCTCGCGCCAAAAAGACCAACACAGAACGTGGAGCTTATGAATACAGAGTTTGAACAGAATTGGAATGTGTTGCGAAATCAAGACACGTCAACGGTAGGTGGCGAAGAAGTGAACGACGATCTTCTCAATACCCATTTCACCGTGGATGCCTCGCAACCGGTCGCGCCAGTGCCTGAACTTACCTTTGGAGCTATGCAAGACTATGTACTTCAGGACACCGGGCTTTGGCTCAATAATCTTGATACTACTGCCTTTGGCGTCATGGATACGTTGGAAATCCTAGCGGATACACCTTTAGCGCAAACAACAACCCCATTCTCGCCCATCGACTTTGGAGACAAGGCAGCAAGCAATCATATTCTCTCCCAACCCGGTTCGCCAACTATCCATGAAACTACCAATAACCGTTCCATGCCAAATGATCATGTACAGGTGACGGAAGCATGTTGGAGACGCATGCAATTGGAGACCAGCAAGATAGATCCGCAATACGTCTTGCCACCAAACGACGAACTTTCCCGGTTTATTGCTCGCTATTTCGGGAGCTTTCATCGTCATCAGCCTTTTCTTCATGAGCCAACGTGGTCGGCGAGCCGTTCTCCAGTCATGTTGGTCCTTGCCGTCTGCGCAAACGGGGCATTATATAGTCTGGAGCGGCCCGCTGCTGTTGAACTGTACAAAATGGCTGTTCACATGACCAGCCTTACAGATGAAGGCATTCACGCACTACAGACAATGATGCTACTCACAGCATTTGCTGCGTGGAGCGGCACGAAAGAGGACTTAAGAGCTGCGCTGCAATTTCATGGGCGTCTTGCTTTTGCTGTACGTCAGGAATGGGCACTTTCGGAATATGGCGAGGGGGCAGAGACCAACACGTGGGAAGTCTGGCTTGCACGAGAGTCTCTCAAGAGGTATATGTCTCTCACCGAATGCGAAGAGGGTTTCAAGGCTCACTATTGTTAGGGTGACCTTCTGTATCTTTACGCTCATGAACCTCATGACGATCGCCTACGATATACCATCACCAATGCTTTTAGAAGCCCAGCATGGCATGCCTGCACATGAGAATCAATGGTGCGCGAGAACCGAGGTTGATTGGATTGAGGCTATGCGATGTGCTGGAATCCAGACATGGCCGTCAGCTCAAGCCATTGTCGAGAGACTAGTAGACGAGTCTCTACCCGTCCCGTCTCACATCGGCATGTTTGGCTGCCATGTCCTCATCTCATTCTTAGTACAGAAGATCATTTTGTTGCGTCGATCATGTCCCACGAAGGACGTAATCTATCTTGAAAACCGACGTTGTTTCATCCGAGCTCTTCGAAGGTGGCAGCTTATGTGGGAGAGCGAGCCTGAAGCATCATTGTCTCCTGACCATCCCCAAGGACCGATTTTATTCAACTGCACCGCCCTCTTGAGAGTAGCTTACATTCGTCTGGTCTCTGATTATTCACCTATCCGACGAGGTTTTGCCGCTTCATGTTCCGAAGACAAAATAGCGAGTTCCATCACAGGAATCGAAGCCCCCATTCGGGATGCAGACACAACAAGAGCAGCTATTCAAGCCTGCCTCGCTCTTCGAGTCCCGACACAACTGGGTTTCAAGATGATAGCCCGGACCAGCTTCTGGGTGTGGAGCGTCCAGCATGCTTTATCTTACTTTGAATGCGCTTTGTTGCTGTCGAAGTGGTTGCAGGCTAACCAACAAGCATCGGATCTTTCTGCCGAGGAAAGAAGAATAAGGCACATGCTGGAACAGACCGTAGGCCCAAGCAATGGAAGCTTTCAAGCAGAAGAATCGTCTACGCGCCTGGATGTTCGTGTCTTGAAAAGATGGGCAGAGCTATTCAAGACGGAGAACACCACAGTGTGGCAAATAATGCCCAAAATGGCGCGAATTCTTGAGATTTACGCAGACACGCTTTCAAACACCCCTACTAACTGAATGTTGGTGAGGATTTGAGAAGTAACGGGTATCCCCTTTAGCACTGTCGGTCAATAAGCCTGTATTTCGGTATCACAAGATCATTACTAGAAGAACAATGATGAATGAGGTGTGTAGGTAGTACAGATAATGAACATTGCTCAAGGCGCGAATGCGACTTCTATGTGAATGAGACGGCGCAGGTCAACTATCTTGATTGGATGATACGACTAAGCATTCAAGCCCATTTGAAGTATCCCCTTCGTGTTGTCATCACCCCTCTACTGCTTGATCTGAATACCCTCATTCTCCATGTCAATCAGAACCTTCTCTGACGCCTTGAATGCTTCCATCCCCGCAGGAACTCCCATGTAAATGCAGACCTGCACCAAAACCTCCCGAATCTCGGTGGCGGACACGCCGTTATTAACGGCACCACGGGTGTGGACGGCAAGCTCATGGACCTTTCCAGTGGCAGCAAGCATAGAGAGATTGATCAATGACCTTTGCTTGCGATCCAGGCCTGGACGGTCCCACACGGCGCCCCAACAAAACGCAGTGGTGAACTCTTGCATGGCCTTGGCGAACTCGGTGCTACCATTCTTGAGAGCGTTGTCGACGTAGGCGTCGCTGAGAACGCTTCGCCGGATGGGCATGCCCACCTCATAGAGGGCTTTCTGGGCGTCGGCGCGATTTGAAGTGGAGGACATGGTGATGATATGGAGCTGTGATATGCAATGATGCTTTTTGTTTGTGTAAGAAACGAGGTTTGTGTCGTTCGTATGGGGGTGCTAAGTGTTGACTATCGTTTGTAAATCTGGAAAGGAAAGATCATTACATATACTAGTCTTAACACTTCCCAAGACAAGTAATAGAACTATACCCTGGCCGAGGTGACTGCTTTGAGCGTTGGAGATAACTTTGGAACGGTCATGCGAACCCCGTGCCACCTCCAACACCTCCACACGCAACAATTACGGCGATATTTCCCCGACACGTCAAGTCTCCAACTCTCTCCAACAGATGACGTTATTCATGTTCGATGTTAGCCCGTATCAAACAGCACAGGCATTGCCGTGTTTGAGCCAGCTGACCATCAGATCAAGAAGTCACACTTCGGCAAGTCCAGTTTCTTCAGTTGCCTACTCACACGAAGGAAAACAAGTTCCGACTGGTAGCAATTTCCTTTGATTTAAGCCAGTGAGTCGCATGCATCCTGCAACTTGTGCATTCTCATATCTCGAAGGACAATATCGTTAATATTGTAGCTCAGAAGCAACCCGAGTCTACAACTTGAACCAACATTGGTCTGTCACCACCAAACCTAAACGAGGCAACACATTTACGAGAAAGTTTAGTCGGGCGGGTTATTCATTCCAAACCAATAACATGGCCAGCGCAGCTCCCACCACATATGGCTTCATTGGTAATACGCCTGACCTAGGAGCATTTCTTCGCATTCAGAATTCTTACTTCGTTAGGATTGGGTCAAATGGGTCATGGAATGGCCAAGAACATCAGGCTAAAAGTACCCCCAACCAGTCAACTCGTTGTTTTCGACGTCAACAAGCAAGCTGTTGACAGCTTTGTCCAAGAACACAATGGTGTCGGGGTTGAAGCTGTCTCTTCTCCTAGAGAAGTCGCTGAAATTGCTGTGAGGGCCTCCGAAGATCTGGTTTCAGCTTCTTGACATCGACTGCAACTGACTACCAGGCAGGATGTGATCATGACCTCAGTTCCTCAAGCTTTACACGTCCAAGACGTGTTTCTTCACCCTGATCATGGACTTCTTTCCGCCAAAAAAAGACCGAACCGTGAGATATTGTTCCTGGAGCTAAGCACCATTGATCCGAAGGCGTCAAGAGAAGTAGCAGACGCAATCAATGTCGGAGAGTGGGGGAAGTTCGTCGACGCCCCATGCTCGGTACGTCATCTTTCTGTCCTTATCTCTATATGACAGTACTTCTGATCTTCTACAAACATTCAGGGTGGTGCAATGGGCGCTGAGAGAGGATCTTTATCCTTCATGGTGGGCTGCAGCGACGAACTCTACCCTCGAGTCTTCGAAATTTGCAAACTCATGGGGAGTGAAGACGGCATCTTTCACTGCGGAGAACTGGGCTCTGGACTTCAAATCAAGCTTCTCAACAACTACCTGTCAGCTCTCACCGCAATGGCCACAGCAGAGACCTACAATATCGGCCTCCGAGGCGGCCTAGACGCACGCAAGTTGGACCGTGTGATCAACGCGAGCTCGGGAATGAACTTCAACTCCAAGATAAACAATCCAGTTCCAGGATTAACTCCAGCAAACGCCGCTAGTCACGGTTATGTGGGAGGCTTTTCGATTGAGTTGTGTCTTGGAGTGCTAGAACTAGGTTTCAAGACCGCTGAAGATGTTGGAGCCAAAACGGTGCTGGGCAAGCCCATGCTCAAGGCTTACAGAGACGCTGCCAGTTATGAGGAATTTCAGGGTAAAGATTCCAAGGTGATTTACAAGTGGCTTGGGGGGGAGAGCCCAGATCTTTCGTAGAGCCTGGGTCTATAATGTGTTGTATGGTGTCTCAGACGGTGTTAACCTTCCGATTAGGGGAAGTGCTGTACTATCTTGAAAATGCTTTTCGAAATTGAGTGTCAATATTCTGTTGACTATTTTGGAATGGTTTACCAAAAGTCAACTTTTCAACGCCCAGTCCAATTTGTGAATAATATCACACATCCGTGCTCGTAAATTGACTTTGACTATCCGTCACAGATGACGAGACAGCATAGCAACAATGAGCCGATGTCGCATCAACGGTGCGACGGCATTACCACTAATGGCCGTGCTAATTCGGCAATTGCTGACCGTTAGTCCCCCCCTCACAAAGCGACTGTCATTCTGTAGGTTTTGCGCCATTCACATCAAATTTCACGTGAATGGTAGATCCTAACGCTGCATGATTGCACGGCAGAGCCGCACTGGTCGCTCTTCTCGACGAGAAGTTATCCTGTGTCAACAAGACCATCCCGTCCTCTCCAACTCTAAGAATGTACGCAATCTCAACTAAGTTCTCCAAAATACCTACCACGGGCCAGCAAAATCTCCACATGTTGGAAGCGATGCCGATTGCGATACCGGACTGGCCCTACCGAGACCAGAAGAGGGGTCCCCCCCAATAGACCCCTCATTTACTCCGACCGGCTGCGCCCCAGAAACTCCCCGGCCGACCACTCCCCGGATTACCCCCGCCTAAGGCGGCTAACACACCACCTCAAGCAAAGGATTTTCCAACCTCCGCATAAAGTTTTCAGCAACCGGAAGAACACGTTAAAACCATGCGCCCTCTCTACTCCGACTCCTCTGCGCCCCGGCAACCCCAACTTGACCCAACGCCGGGGGAGACTACCCCTCTCATTGCCAAGATGGCGAAAGACGTCGACGAGACTAGAGTCATACAACATGGCCACGCCGAAGCGTCTGCGATTACAGATGCGGAAACTGCCAAGGCAGACGAGCACGAGATGGCGATTCCAGTCATTGACGACGCCTGGTTGGCAGTAGAGAAACGCCTTCGTCGCAAGCTCGACCTCACTCTCATGCCCATCATTTGGGTCCTATATTTATTCAACTATCTTGATAGAAACAACATCGCGTAGGCCACCCATGAAAACCGCTTGTATCGGGTAACCAAGCACTGACTCAAATGCAGCCAAGCAAAGCTTGACACTTTTGAGGCTGATTTAGGACTCAAAGGCGAGAACTTTAACACAGCAGTTTCCATTCTCAACGTTGGGTAAGATTGAACATGACCCTCTGTCTTGCCAATCTATTGTTTAATGTCAAGATATTTCTACAGCCATGAAAATTCATCAATCATAGAATGCTGCTGATCTGTCATTTAGATACATGCTCATGCAACTGCCGAGCAACATGCTCCTTACCCGAGTGCGACCATCTCTTTATATCCCATTTTGGGTATGCGCATGGTCTTGCATATCAGCCTCAACTGCCGCGACTCATAGCTATTCCGGTCTCATTGCCGTACGGTTCTTTCTCGGAGTGAGCGAGGCGCCTTTCGGGCCCGGCGCATTTTTCCTGCTCTCGTGCTGGTACACCAGGAAAGAGCTGGCTCTCCGCACAGCAATTCTATATTCAGGTATCAGCTTAGCTACAAGCTTTTCAGGACTACTCGCCGCTGGTATCTACTCAGGCCTGACTGGGGTTCATGGAGTGAGCGGCTGGCGATGGTTATTTATTATTGAAGGAGTCGCAAGCTTCGGTTTCGGAGTTATGGCAATGTTCCTTCTACCAGACTTCCCAGCGTCGGAATCCGGCTCAGCAACGTGGCTTCTGACGAAGGAGGAACGACAAGTAGCGATTGAGAGAATGGCGAGGGATCAGGTTTCAAACCAAGAGTCGAATAATTCGCTTTGGTACGGGCTCCAAATTGCAGTCAAGGACTACCGAGTTTGGGTATTCGTAAGTCATTTAAAACGACCTTTGGTACTTATCCTCACCGTCGGATTGCGGCTTGCTGACATGAATCTTCGATTTAGGCGTTCATTCTCTGCTGCAACCACACTGCGTATGGATTCAATAACTTCTACCCGACAATCGTCAAGGGTTTCAATCTCGGAAGCAGGACGATCACCCTTCTTTGCACAGCTCCACCGTATTTAGTCGGTGCTATATTCTCTTTGCTTGTAGCGTACTCGAGCGACATTCGGAACGAGCGCGGTTGGCACATCAGCCTTCCAATGATGATGTCTGCGGTCGGGTTTATCATCTCTGCTGCTACTCTGAACGTTCCGGCCCGATACTTCGCATCATTCCTCTACATATCAGGAGCCTTTTCAGGAAACGCGATCCTCTTCGGTTGGGCAGCTTCCTCCGTTAGCCAGACACCAGAGAAGAGAGCTTGCGCGACCGCGATCATCAACATCTTTGGTCAGTTTGGCAATATTTGGAGCCCATATTTCTTCTCGCCCGGCGATGCTCCACGTTATGTCAAGGCTATGATACTCATGGTCGCGTTCTCTCTCGCAAGCGTGCTGGGCTGCATGCTAATGAAATGGACTCTGAGGCGGGACAACAAAAAGCTTATAGAAAGATTCGCTGGCTCGGGCACATCTCCGAACTTGTACACCCTCTAAATAAGTAGAGGCACAAGCGAAGACTTGCTTTGTCGGGGGCGTTGGGACATGAGGTGCATTATGCATAGAGTTACTGGTCATATTATAATTACTATGTTTAGATAGACATCTAAGAGCAGACATTCGACGTCAGGCTACCAGTCTTCTTGAATGCGACTTCGACCGCCTTGTCCCCTCCAAGCTTGATATCAAAGCTGGTATTCCAACCATCTGCATTGACTTTACCAGAGGCCTTGTAAGCGACCCACTGCTCCTTTTCCTCCCCCGTGGTCTCGAAGGGAATCTTCTCCGTCTCCAATCTCGGTACGATAACACCTTGTCGGCGGAATTCGTTGACGAGGTCCAGGGTCAGGTCGCCTGCTGCAGCAGGTAGACGATCCTTGCGGACGAAGGCCTTCACGGTGAGAGGCATCTGTCCGTTAATAACATTCGTATCAAGACAGGATTGGCTTTCCTGGTATAGGAGGGCGTCGTCCATGGGGTACGCATTTCCAGCATTGTCGTATATGATCGTCTCGTTCGTGGAAACTTTCGTGACGTGAATGTAGAACTTGCTGATACCCGTTTCAGGGCTAATAGTGGTGTCAAACTCCCACCAAGCGAAGGACTCTCGCCAAAGTCCGGAAGCAGATCCGCCTTGAAAAGTCGCCTTTCTTGTGGTGATCACCTCTGATCCATTGCCGTTGCGGTCGGCATAGGTCAACTGCACGGAAAGATCTGTCGGGTCTCGTCCAGTCTCGGCTGACGTGCGAATACGGATGCGGCCAGCGAACGAGATGTTGCCGTCGTCCTTCAGATACAAGCCGTTAATGTAGGGTTTGATGTCCGTCGCGACAATAGGGTCGCTGAGCTTAACACTCGCGGGGACCGTGTCGATCATACGAGTGAAGATGTCGGCACACATTGTCTGGAACGTGTTCGGGTCGGCCATCGCTTGCATCGTCTTGTTACCATCGGCACCGAAGATGCGCTTGTCGGAGTTGAGGGTGTCGTTGGTTCCCGCAACCAAAGGATTCTTCGTCGACCCATCCAAGTACTCCGTAACCACGCCATTGTCGAAGTTGTCAAATTTGACATCAAAATGAGCGACGGTGTCGTTATTGGGATCCGCTTCGACTCCGACGATCTCAGGGAAATCGGTGCTGTGTACTCCTCCGAGGCTATGTCCGCAGGCCACCATGGCAATCATGTCCTGTGTTGAGAACCCAGCCTTGGTGAAAGCGGCCTGGGTGGCTTCCAAGTCGGTCTGCGGCTCTGGGACGCCTGCCGGTCCTGCTTCTTGGGCGTCAATGCGACCGGCACGGAATGGGATCTTGATGCCGCCGCAGGAGTAGCTAGCTACAAGCACACTCATTGCCAGCAAGTCAGAGGCTGAAGCGCGCGCAGAGTAGAAGCTGCTGAAGAAGCCAAACGTATTGTTGAAAGCCTTGCCGATGTTTTCCGCCCGTTCTAGCTCGAAGAAGATGGAAGCGTCGAGACCGCCGGTTCCAGCTTCAGCATCATGGGTTGCCATATCATGGAAAGCGCTCCGGATCCATTCAGCCGAGTTTTGACGGCCTTGAATGCTTGTACCGAAACCGCACGTGAGAACGCCTTGCCAATGTCAGTACATGTGAGTTTGTGTTTATTCAAGGAAATATGACCAACCATCAATGAAACCCCTGCGCAGGTATCCGGACTGCAGGGAGAGGTGGTCCTCGATCTCATCGTAAATCGACGGCCAGACGTACTCCGTGGATGCGAGGGTCGCCAGAGCGACGGTGGCGAGTAGGCTCTGCTTCATGATTGAAGGCTTGAACGAGTGACTGACGGGTGCGTGATTCCGCCTTCCACTCTCATCTTGCGCTGGGAACAGTCTGCTTTATGGTTTGATTATCGTCCTTCTGGAGGAATCCGGCAATGCAACGTTGGACGGGGCGACCCTTGGTCCCTGCAGGCATGGGGCCATGAACGACAGGTCTAAAGCGAGCGATCTCGTATTCTTCTGGAGACATGCTATAAATGTCACCCGTAGTGGCCGAATAGGAAGGCTGTTTTCCAATCGGTTCAGGCCGTCGTGGATCGCCTAGATATGCTTCTTCTTAAGTGCTTGTCTAGCTCATTTCCCGGGACAAGGCCTTCCCAGTCTAACCCCAACGAAGCGTGGAGCAGCGCCTCCTGCCCAATAAGGCAGCTGGAATTACCCATCACGCAGCCCTGAATACGGGCGATCAGCGCAACGGTGCAGTGGGCGGCCGGTTGCAATAACGCAGAGGGGGCTGGTGGCTTGGTGGTCAGATGCGCCTATGGTCGAGTCTCTGGCTTTTCATGGGATTTGGGGGGGAACATGGATATTCGTTCACTTTTCCTGCGGCAATACCGAAATCCGAAAATCTCTCAAATAGCATGAGAGACATTGCTGTGCTCGCGTGCAGATTTAAAGCCTGGAGCGTGGCTGGCAGGACATCGGTCAATTGGAACAGCACCATTCAGGGGTGCTGTTATTGATAGGAAGGTGACATCGGAGATATTGCAGGTGAGGCGAGAGCCCAACATTCGGAGCCGATGGCGGATTTCGACATTCATGGCTTTCATGCCGTTATCCGAGTTATCATGGCATGTTGGATTCACTATTCGCGGCATAACTTATAAGGGGGACCAACGATGGTGAGCTGCGGCGACATCCGTAGGCATAAACTTCACCATAGGTAGCGACGTCTATTTCTTGTTGACAATGAAGGCCGAGCAACTGAACAAAAGTGTGTTAAGTGGAGAAGAGTTCTCCTGTTACAAATGCGAATAGGAGACGGAAAAAACAGCTGCCCGAGAGTCTTGTCCGGTGCGGGGTTTCTTCCGTTCCACGGACCCTGTAAGGATAATGCCGTCATCGAAGTTAATAGACGCGAGACAATAGTCAAGCCACTCCGAGTGTATTGCTTCGTGTAGTGTAATAGGTCACCTTGCGAGCTCAGTAAACGTACAAAACATAGTCAACCATGGGCGACGCATCCATCCTCCACATGCCAACGGCGCTCATCTTTGGCGGCAATGGCAAGACTGCCCGGCAGCTGACCAAGATCCTTCTGAGCGCCGCCACCCCGCACACCGTTTTCAGCGTCATCCGAAACCCGGACCAGATCCCGGATCTCAAAGCCATCGGCGCGAAGCCAATCGTCCAGGACATCGCGACCGGCTCCGAGGCGGACTTTATCAAAATCATCGAGGGCACCCGGCCCGACGTGGTGGTGTGGGCAGCCGGCGGCAAGGATCCCAAGTCCGCCGAGGCCGTTGACCGCGACGGCGCCATCCGCGCCATGGATGCCCTAGCCAAAGCCAACGTCACAACTAAGCGATACATTGTTGTCAGCGCCCTCGATGTCCGCGACCGCGAGAACAAGCCCGTCCCGGATTGGTACACGGAAGCCGATGAGAAGCTCAGTGACCGTATGTGGGGCATCATTGGTCCCATTCTCCAAGCTAAGCTCGCGGCCGACACGGAGTTGAGGGTCGGAAATGCGGCTCGCGGACTCGACTACACGATCGTAAGGCCGGGTGGTCTTGGGGAAGGTCCCAGTGAGGGCGTCATCCGAGCCGGAAAGGTGGGAACAGTCGGCATCATCCCACGCGAAGACGTTGCGAAGGTGATTTACGCGTCCATCCAGAACAACAAGACTCACGGACTCGCGTTTGATATCTTGGGACCCGGCGAGGGAAACCTGCCAATCAAGCAAGCCGTTGCAAAAGTAGCAAAGGATCATGAGGATACCTTTGAGGGCTATTATTAGGCCAAGCGAGTGTGTATTTATGTACATGTACTGTCACTAGGATTGTTGCAGCGGGTCCAAATATGAGAGCGAAAACAGATGGCTGCAATGAAACCCTACTCAGAAGAGCATGTTGAGCTTTTTGAGCTTGGTCTATGCCTCGTTGTTGCCTGGCTTCCGCCCGTAGATCGACCAGCTGGTCAAGGTCAATGAGGGCAGCGTTGTAAGTATAGATGGGGCACTCACACGGCAGAATAGGCATGTATGTTTCTGTTTCTCATGTCATTGCGCACCTGCATCCCGAAAACAGTGACTTCCTCTTTGGTCCAGTTGTGTGCTCTCGTGAGAGGTGCCATCATGAAGCCCTCGAGTCCAGCACAGAAGTTGTCGTGGTTCCAAAAACCGAGTTCCCTGTGCTTTCGGTCTTTGGGCCATGAATTCGTGGGCCACTTGAACATCTGAGCGTAGACATCTTTGAAGCCTACCTCGATCATGATATCCTTCAAGACTCTGATGTCCTGGAATGGGCGCCCAAACATGACCGCAGCCTCTGCCCAAAGGCCAACGAACTTCAAGACAGCAGAATCATCCTTTAATGTTTCGTCATCGGACTTTGGCCATAGGTCGACTTCGTTCAATTCAAGGTAGCCATTGGGGCTTAAGTTGCTACAATTTCATGTCAGTGAAACTTCAACCTTGAATAGATATGTCATTAACAAACTCGTAGCATTTTCGGATATATTCTTTCCAGTCAGCCACACTGAAGGTCATGGTTCGACTGTGAATGTAGTCAAAGGGCTGAGAGTAAGTCCAGGGTTCCTCAATGTCGTCAATCTGGAACTTGACATTCGGGGGAGTACTATGATGAAGTCAGATGCCGTTGGACGATTAAACGCCGTTATGTAACCGTACAATTCTGGTTGGATGGCCGATAAATCAACTCCAAGAACCTGTTATAAGTGCAAGGTCAGTAAAGTACGCGTCGACGCAATGGAACCGTTTCAAGTAACCTCTGCATTCGGATGTTCTTCTCCAAACTCCATGGCCCAGATCCCCGTGCCGGTTCCGACATCAAGAACTCTTCCAACTTTAGAGTTAGGGTCGTTCGGCGGTGCAGTTCCCAGACGATTGTCGAAAGTGAGCAGCCACATGTTATGTTGAATGTCTTTATATGCAAGCATCAGCTGCAATTATTCACACGAGTTTTGATCAAGGCACTCACCAAGACGATCATTCTCCCTTTCGTCGTTCGGAAGGTGGTATTCTGCACTCTTCAGATACTGTGCCAATGACCCATATCGGATCTCAGTTGACTTTCCACTTACTGCCGTCTTTGTATTTGTGATACGTTCGACCATTCTCAATGCGATATTCAAGAACAGACTCAGTCACACTGGTGCTCGACGAGGCGATACTCTACATATTGTCGTGTCAGAGAAGGCATATCGTTTGGGTGGAGACGAGTGTGGAATTGAATTTTCACTGACCTCTCCTCGAGCAGACTCGTCGTCTGACACCTGCGAAGAAAACTTATGTCAATAATGCCTTAGAAAGCTTTGGTATGTTTTGTTAACTTGCATCTTCCGCAAGAAGCACGGCTGGGTTGTTGTCTGCGGTGTTTGCGTCTGCAGTGTTATCTGCCGGTGCCAACGCAGCCGGGACAATTCCAGTGGTGTCTTCCCTCGTCTCCGACATGATTCTCTTTTCAATGATACCTTCAACTTTTTCGTGTTCTGGACCGTTCGATTTTGTTTTCTCATGACTGTTGAAGGTCATCACGCGAACGGTTGGACGGGTTGCTATCTATATGCGAAAATCCACGGGTCTTCGCAAAGCCCATGCATTTACCCCTCTCCTTGACTCGAGCCTTCATGCAGGTTTCCGGTAAACATTCGATTCAGGACGTGAAGCGTGGAGCATAATCCCAAAAGGTGACATCGCCGGACGTATCAGAGAGGTTGCATGCAGCGGAACCAACAGGTGAGCTTCCAACGTGGTGCAACGTTTAGCACGTTGAATCGGGTAAATCTGTGCACCACGAGTCAGAAATTGACTACGAGACAAAACTAAAGATAATTGTGTTGTAATTAGTTAGAATTTACCACTTATTCAAGCATTTTAAACTTTCCCAACTAGAGAGCTGATGTAGTGCAGCGATGGTTCCCGCGACAGCGAGTGTCCCAATTCTTGGTGAGCATTTCTTGCATATCACATATCACAATCACTCACCATCACTCACCAGTGATAGCCGAGACCCGGAGAACCCACATGACTCGGAAAACATGCCAGTATACGTTGAGCAACGAAGAATCTTTCTGCTGTTGCCTCCTCTTCAAGGGCACCAAAAGCATCCATCATCACATGTTCGGTGGGTGTTAACATCACAACGCCAACGTGGAATTCTGCGTCAACTACCAGCGTCGTCTAAGTACAGCTAAAGGGAGAACGTCTTCTTTGATCAGATTACAATTTGATTTCCTTACTCATTGTGGTCGTGCCCAGTAGCAAAAATTGTGCCAGTGAGTTTCATCCTTGATGCTTAGTTGTAGCTCACATGAACGTGATCCCTGGAAAACTGTTAGTTTACTTCCTCTTCTTCAAGAAAAATTAGATCAGGACTCACCAGTGGTTCGCGGTAACACCACCTCGATCCTCCATCCCCCTCCAATCCGTCCAAGGCTTGACAGAGTCTACAGAAGGACTCCAGATACGCTGTCCCCAGATGACATACTTCAAGTCAAGAGTCGCGCGGTTGTTCATGACCCATTCCGCAATCTCCTTACCGGAGGTGGTGGGAGTCTGCCACGTGGTCAACATCATTCGATAGAGTCATATCAATGCCACTTACACCACCAGCGTCAGAACACATCATATCCGTCGCCTTGCCACAGCAGTGATCCGAGTCGCCAGGACAAGAACAGTCTCGCGTGCAAAAGATCTCCCGAACCCTCTTCGGGAACGCCGCCACAATCTTCTTGGCGCCGTTGACGGCGACCGACTTGCAGGCGCCCACAGTCAGGGTATTCGGGGCGCCGTAGCCGCCGAACCCGGAGGCGGATGAGTCGCAGCACTTGAAGGTGCTGGGACCCGGGCACTGATTAGCGACAGAGGTGCCCGCGCAGTCGCTCGTGAAGCGACAGTTGCCGCCGCTGCCGCAGGATGCTTTGGTGCAGCATTTGACGTTGTCCGGGTCTTTGGGGCAGGCGCCGTTGATCGTGGTGCCGCCGCTGGATGAGCAGCTGCTAGTGGTCACGCAGACACCTGATATTTTTGTCAGTGAAAGTGTAGGTGTGATTTGAGAAGTGAGACAAACCAGCTCTGCCTCCTGAACCATAGCATGGCTCGTTCAGGGCGGCGAAGACTGCCGGTACCGATACCGCGGCGATGAGAAAAGTTTGCAGCTGCATTATTGGTAGTTGTTCGGCGATGAGTTTGTAGTGGGTTATTACTGAGGTTGATGACGCTTAAGATAACGTTTTACTTTGGCGTACAAGAGACCGATATTTATATTCTTTGGTAGTCATTGAGTCGGGTCAGCAACTCAGATCAAGCGCAGGAGTTCCTCCGTATAACCACAAGGCAACCGAAGTAAGCGCCCAAAGTCGGCTCCCTTGGGTTGCATTGCATGTGCTCTTTTTCTTGGCTCGCGTCATTGCAGTTCAGCTAAGGCTATTCTGAAGACTATCATGACTCTGGGCCGAGTTGAACCTGACTTGGGCGAGGTAATAACACTCTCCAGGGTTTAAGAAAGCCACTTACTCTAGAAGAATCAGCCACTCCCGCTGCCAGAATGGAGGATAAGAAACGGGATGAACCTAGTTCGCATACCCAGAAACTAGTGTAAGACAGTGACAGGATTTCTCCGGTCTACAGTAAGACAAGAATGACGAGAAGTGACAGAAATGGGCGCGATCTCCCCTGTCAAAGGTGATAGATCGACCATTTAGTCTACCGAAGCTGCCTGTTAGTGGTAGTGGTGACTGCTTATTGTTTAAGGAAGAAGGTCATCAATTATTACTGCATATTGCAGTGGTACCATTGGGCTGTTTTCCTGATCATCAGTTGTAACATCAGAATAACTGCGTCGATAAGTCGGAAAATAACTAAGCTCCCCCTGGTCTTGTAACCGTCGTGTTGTAGAGTTGAAGCAACATCTGTCTAGACATCAGAGCTTGTCAAGCTTTACTACCCCTTGCAGATCATGCAAGTCTTGAAGCTTGAAGAATGGCGTCATTTGACGATTAACCGCCGAAGCAAACTTGGATTTTCCAAGACACAACTGAACCCACGTTTCCCCTCGTGGCCGTTTCCTAAAGCTGAACCCTAGACAAGGGCTGTCCCGCCTACAATTTGGGGAAAGTTCAGCTAGCTAGTAATACGGCAAGATGTCCTCCCGCTCTTCGCCCCTTAGCTGTGAAGATCGTTCAGCTCACCAGGGATAGTCCGTAGAAAATGACGTTACAGTCATACACAACCCTCGTTCTTTGGTTATTTGAATCCCTGAAATGACTGCAGGTAAGCCTTATGCAACGATCCGGGGAGTTCAGCTTCGGTGTGAAATTCCTGATGACCCCGCAGCTGAAAGACATGCGGCCACCATCATAGCGGCCAGACTCGACGCCACAAATCCTAGACAATATTTCTAGGCTACACCACATCCGTTGGATCGTTTGATTCATTATCGAGTCGAAGGAATCTGTATCTCAATTAAAATGGGCGATTGGTTTAGGGGTATAACGACCGCTTCGCATGCGGTAGGTCCTAGGTTCGATTCCTAGATTGTCCATCCTTTTGCCGGGCATTACCTATAAGACTTAGGTGGCTACTTTCAAAGTTATTCTGAACTGGTAATGTGGCCTAGATTGGCTGAATGTGTGCTGGTAGGCATGCTGTCTATTGCTTTTCTATGCTATTTAGGCTTTAGCTAATCATTTTAATGCGCCCCTCTAACACCGGTGCAATAACCCGTGTCCAATCTACGGTGAACTCGCCCTCACGCAAGGGATCGCACACTTCGGCCTTCACGCCTGCCGCCTTCGCCCATTTAGCGAAGAACTTGCGCATAATAAGCATCTCCATGTCGACCTGCGCGATGGTATCCGCCTCGTCCTCCGTATCAGACTCATCCGATTCATCCTTGGGGAGCTTGGTGTTGAGGGCGTGCCTCTTGACCATCCACTCAGCCCAGGACTTGGAATGAACCTCTGGCTGGGGGTCTGAGGTGCCTGTCGCGGCGGGTGTCTCCCACATCTTGCGCGGCTCGACGGGAGTATGACACTTTTCGGCTACCTGGACCCAGTGCTCACTGAGATTCTTCCATTGGCCGACGGTGCGAAGACTCATGAAGTATTGGCGAAGCATGGCTGAGATGAGGATACCATTTTCTTCGCAGACGATCTCCTCGGCCGTGCCGCCTTCCGGCTCGACAAGAAGACTGGTGTAGCCATCTGTGGTCATTAGCAGTGTACAAAGAGTTCTTCAGGTCTTCAACGTACCCTTTCCTCGACCCATATAACCACGAGTGGCGAGGGTGTACTTCTTGTCCATCTCCATTGGACCCCCACCCAAGGTGGCTTCGACGATGCGCGAGCCAGGTTCCTTGCTGGGGTCGAACGTATACGTAATGTTGGATACCTGCGGGAAACGACCTGAGTTGTTAGGATGTTTAGTCCGTAATATGCCAGAAAGTAGACTCACCCTCCTGTGCCGGATACTGCGAGACGCCATTCTCCAAGGCATCCCATATTTGCTGGCCGGTCACTCTGATGAAGATGACGGGATCTTCAAAGGGGAAGCAATTGGTAATGTCCCTTACTCTGATTACGCCGGGCGGGTAAATCTGGTCACCCCGTATGGTGCCAGCTGCCATGAGAGCGCAGTCAGCGTTGTGGTAGTGTCTCATTACGTCGCAAACAAAGTTGCCCATGTTGCTCTCCTTCATTCGTACTGTCGTGAAGCGTGCATCCAGGGGAGAAGCTGTCCAACCAACTGACTTGGCCAAGCTGTGTTTAAGCTTCGATGTCAACTCCTCAGTGAGCTTCAAAGTCTCCTGGTCCTCTGCGATGGAGGAGACGATGTCCCGTCGTTCAATGTCAAAGTCCCATTTTCCTGAACCATCCGCCTTCTTCCGGACTTCAACGTAGCTGAGTTGCTTGAAATCGGAACCTGAACGCAGAACATGAGTACCGTTGATGAAGCTGTGCGCATAGTAATGATCATGGCCGCCGAGGATGATGTCGATGAGACCGTCCGTTTTCTCGGCGAGCTTGTTGTCGTTTGGCTCACGCTGGTGGCTGAGACAGATGATTATGTCGGCACCTTGGGCGCGGAGCTGGGGAACAAGCTCCTTGGCTGTCTCGCTGGCGGACTTGTAGATGATGTCGGGAGGCAAGCTGTTGATTGTTTCGAGCCACTCTCTCTCGCCGAGGCCGATGAGACCAATCTTGATGCCGTTGGAGGATGTGAGCATATGAGTGTGCTTGGCATTTCCGAGGGGCACATTTTCGCCGAGAGCTGGGTCCAGGACGTTGGCGAGCAGCCAGGGGAAGTTGCACTTGGCAGTCAAGTGTTCGAACTGCTTGACTCCGAAGTCGAAGTCATGGTTCTGGCGGCGTTAATACAATGGCACGGCCAATTGAGGTAGAACAGGCTCACTTACACCAACACAGGTGCAGTCGACGCCTATCTTGTTGAGAACGGGCACCATGTGCTCACCTGTTAGGGTCTGCGTCAGCACGGTATCATGGCAGGCAGAGGGCACGTGAGGGGTAACCTTTTGTGACGGAGCTCTCGAGACTGGGGTTGAAGACGTCTCCCGAAAATAGAGTAATTAGCTCGGGCTGGCCATTGAATCGCTCGTGACTGCGGTACTCGTTGACGGCAGTGATGAAGCGAGGGACACCGCCAACGGGCTCAGCACTGGAGGGTTCCAAGTGGTAGACATCATTGAGGTGGAGAATTCGCAAGGCAACGGGTGCGTCGGAACCAGAGCTGAAGGTAACGGCAGGCTCATCGGGAGCCGGCGCGTTCTTGGGCATGGTGGTGGTGGTCCAAGGTCAGAATAAAAATAGAGATGCAGTCAAAAAAGGCGGTGATGGATCAGGTAAGGCGAGGTGAAGGTGAAGGTGGCATGTGCCCCTGAGTCTGCAGTGTTTACCTACGGCAGAGCTGAGGTAAGGTTAAGGTAGGTACCTCCAACTAAGGTAGGTACCTCAGACCTGGAAGCGGGGGCGGGGCAGGGCAGTGAAGGGCACCGGCACCCGCCCGGGTGACACGAAGCACAAGGACACTGGACGAACGCGCTGCGCAACGGCGATGACGATGATGCTCTTCAGGGGATGATTCGCTGAAGCATCCCGGATCGTCCACTGAACTTAGCCCTCAACGAAGCTGCGGCGGTGCAGAAGCCAATCAGAGGGCCAAGATTGCCAATTGACGGCAGAAACACGTGACGATTTGCTCGCTTAAGGCAAGCTGTGGATCGATCAGTGGGTCCATTGCTATTTCTGGCTTGACCTCATCTGATAACGATAAGCACCATCGCGTTAAGGCTTTAAGCGAGCGAGCGATGGCGATCGTCCGTCCATCCACCGTCCCGTGTGCCGTCTAGACCTTCCCATCTTCCTTCCGTCTTCCGTCGTGGGTCTTGGGACGAACCTTTTTCCAACGTCAACTAATTACCTTGCCTGTCGCTCCTCTGGTGCTACAGCGTGAAGACCGTCTGATCCGGCGACAGACATATCGCGATTTGCACCGCCACACCAAGCGGCTTGGCTGGCGTGATTTCCTGCCAGTCATGTCTTCGTTTCGAGAAACCAATTCCTGATTCACGCCAAGGCTTTCTTCTTTTCACTCAAGGGCACCAAGATGCTAGTGCCAATGTCATTTCTCATTCAACTGTTGGTCCAGAACCCCAGAACCCCTTCCAGCTCGCTTACACTAACACATCTAGCTTTCTACCTGCAGTCTTGGCTCATACCATCTTCACTGCAATCAATCCGTGACTCGGAACTCAAACCCATGCCGACGCTGCAGGCTGCTTCGCCTGCGCCGTCGACAAGGGCTTCTTGGACCCCAACATCCGTCCCACGACAATCATTCGCATAACGCACTCGGCACTCTCCCGCGTCAGTTTCTCCGCCTCCACAATGGCCTCGTCCAGCGTGGTTGGTCGTTGCAGGATACACGTGTACGCATCGATTCCGACGTCGTAGTTGACCCGAGCCCCTGGTCCGATGGTCCCGGCAATAGCAACCACCGGCAGGCCATGCTTCTTCGCCCGCGTCCCAATCTCGCCCGGAATTTTCCCCCTCGGTGTCTGGTCATCGATGCCTCCTTCGGCCGTGAGAACCAGGTCGCAGTCCGTAAACAGCCCTTCAAAGTCGACATACTCCGCCACCACCTCATACCTTGGCCGGAGCTTGGCGCCCACCAGCCGCAAACCGGTGCCCAACCCTCCAGATGCTCCTCCGCCGGGCGACGTGCCCACATTGCTGTCGCAGAGAAGCCGTCCAGCAACCACAGAGAGCACCTCCATAGCTGCTGAGAGCCGTTCCGTCTGCTGAGCACTCGACCCCTTCTGCTTGCCAAAGACCCTAGCAACACCATCGGGACCACTGAGAACATTGTTCCAGTTGACCGCGACCTCGATGTCGACATCTTCGATACGCTTGTCGATTCCGCCAAGATCGATGTTTGCCAAACGCAGCAGGCTCTCGCCCCCTGCGGCAATAGGGAGCGTAAGCCCGTCTTGATCTATCAGTCGAGCGCCAAGAGCCTGAAGCATTCCCGCGCCCCCGTCGCAAGTGCCAGAGTCGCCGCAGCCAACAATGATCTTCTTCGCCCCAGCTCCGGCTGCAGCTGTCAGAAGCTCACCCACTCCAAACGTGGTAGTAACGCCGGGGTTGCGAAGATGGGTTGGGACAAGGCTCAAGCCGGCCGCAGCAGCCATTTCGATGACAGCTGTCTTTGGCTCATCGGGGCTTTTGCTTCCCAATATGCCAAAGAAAGACGCAATCGGAGCGCCAACGGGGCCGGTGACAACGACTGGATGCAATGTCCCACAAGTCGCGGACACAAGGGCACTAGTGAACCCCTCGCCTCCGTCAACCAGGGGAACCTTGCGCACAGAAGCATCTGGCATTACAGAGAGAATGCCAGCCTCGATGCAATCAGCGGCAACCTCTGGCTGAAGGCTTCCCTTGAAACCGGACGGGCAGACGAGAATTCTCATTCCCTGGGGCGTCGGAGAATCCATGTGGATGTGTTTGGTAGGTTGTGATGTTAAACGATGGTAATAAGTTTACGTGTTGTTGCAAAGCGCTAACTTGAACACGATAAAGCGAATGTTGAAAAACGAGTGAGTTATGTATCGGATAAGGAGTATGGTGAACGAAGACTTGTATGACCTGGTTTGTCGAAGCAATGGTCTGTCCTTACGAACCTTCTTATACTGCTTGGGAACAGAACCCCTAGATCGAATGGTGCTGATCAACGCGCCCTCTCTGTGACCAGTCTATGCATTTGCCTGGCGACGAATTTACAAGCGTTGAGGCTTCATCCGCCGTCAAGAAAATTAAGAAGCCCAACCTGCCGCGTCCAGCTGCCGCGGGGTGGCTATGAGATGCTTCGCCGGTTGCTATTTTGCAAACAGATAAGTTGATCGCGTGATATTACTCACGCGAGATGCTCAGGTACGGTGATGTCTTCAGCCCTGCACGTGTCCGTTGCCTCGATGGGCTGCCGACTGAACCGTTCCTGAGCTGTCAACAGCATCATGATGTAACATCGTCTACGCAAGTAGCACCCAGCACAGCCTTCAAAGGCGCTAGATAGCTTGTCTTGTAAATCACCTTAGGCGTCGAAACAACTGCTTTCATTGGCACCAGGACCATCACAGCCTGTTCTCGGCGACGAGTGAGCACACGATCAGGATTTGCCCAGATCTCGTATCTCGACCCAGGTGAAACAAACCCTTGAGGTGTCATCTCAAACTGTATCTTCCAATCAGACAACCCGTTCCTGGGCTATAAATAAGGATTACAACTTTATCGACGTGTTTTTCAGGGTTCAAGCGTGTGTGTATGTAGCCCCAGGCGGAGTCTAGAAGAATGTTACTCCAACGTGCACCATCAGCCACAGTTGACGTAGCCGTCCACGACTCCGCTGATCGGCTCGCCAAGAAAGCTTCGGCCGACTTTCCCACCAGAACACCAGCTTGCCCCGGACTAGTCATATTTTTCTCCCCTTGGCAGCTGATCTGCTGGATCTAGGGATGTTGGCTGCAGGTCTGCATACAGGGAGGAGAAATCCGGAATGAGCTGATTGTTTTCGGTCTCCGACCCAGCCATACTCATCATCAGAGGCGCTGTCATCATGAGTGCATGAGGCTATGCTCTTCTGCCTGGCCAAGTGGAAGATATCACGAAGACAGTTTGTCGTATAAAGAAAGCTCTAAAGTTTCCCAGTGAACGTTCAAGCGCATATGAAACCATCAAGATCAGAATAGCGCTGTGATCGTCATTTTCCGTTCATCGTTTTCTTATTCACTCGCTTTGACAGTCGCTTCCGCAAACATGTCTCAATCTCACACATATCAGTTCATTTCTCATAAGCCAGTCTCAGATCCAGAGATGGCCCCGAGCCTCCAGAGAACCCTGACCCGGTCTCGGTCCAGCCTGTGGCGCGGATGGAGCCCGGGACTCCCTTCTTTCTCAGAGTACGAACGGACTGCATACAAATTCCCATGGCTGCAAGACCCAGACGGCTCATTCTCCCGACAAAATCACGGGAACAAGCATTCCGATATTAACCTAGAGACCCCCGGCCCAACAGACCGTTCCCACTTGCTGTCCTATGACAACACTCAAAACGACCCATCAATGATACCCCGACCAGAAAAGTCAAGTCATGAACAGGGCAATCATTCTGATGATTCCGAGGATCCAGACCTGGCAGGATGCACCCGGTTCTTCTTTACACTAAACGCTAATCGAACAACAGGTAACATGGTCTGGGCCCTCAGATCCACTGAACCCCAAGAACTGGCCAAAGCACAAGAAATGGACAGCCACCATCTTAGTTTCCTGCTTCACTTTCATATCGCCAGTGTCCTCGACAATGTTGGCACCAGCACTTGACACACTTGCCGATGACCTCAACGTCGAGTCAGACATTGAGACCTACCTCTTGATGTCCATCTTTCTCCTCGCCTACGCGGTCGGCCCCTTTGTGCTGGCGCCGCTATCAGAGATGTACGGCCGAGTTGTCGTGCTTCAGTCGGCGAACATGTTCTATCTCATCTTCAATACTGTATGTGGCTTCTCCACATCAAAGGAACAGATGCTCGCATTTCGGTTTCTGAGCGGTCTGGGCGGGAGCGCACCTCAAGCTGTAAGCACATTTCTACTAGGTTTTGTGTTCTTGAAGAGGTAGCACACACTGACATTGGCATCAGCTTGGTGGTGGTGTACTGAGTGACTGCTTTAGAGCGGAAGAGAGAGGTACGGCAACGGCTATATATGGTCTTGCCCCTTTCCTAGGCCCAGCGGTTGGGCCAATTGGTAAGTTCCACATCATCACGCTTCCAACATAGATATCTCAACTAAAACTTTGAAGCTGCTGGATATCTCACCCAATACATGTCATGGCGCTGGATCTTTTGGACAGTCTCGATCGCCGATGCAGTCGTCCAAATCCTCGCGCTCCTCTTTCTCTCAGAGACATACGCACCTAAGATCCTGGCAGTGAAGGCAAAGAAATTGCGCAAGCTCACCGGCAACAAAAATCTTCGCACTGAATATGAACGGCCGGATAAAACTTTTAGCCAGACACTAGGAAAGAATTTGGTCAGGCCGTTCAGGATGCTCTTCACGCAGCCAGCGTTGCAGATTACGGCGCTGTACAGGGCTTATCTTTACGGGCTGATGTACCTCGTGTAAGCTTGGGCCCCTAAACTAAATTCTGAAAGAGGTCAATCGCTGATACACTTCAAGTCTTGCGTCGTTCCCACTTGTGTGGAGCGAGCAATATGACCAAGAACCAGGTCCAGCAAGTCTCAACTACATTTCACTCGGCGTCGGCTTTGTCATTGGACTTCAAGTTTCGGGGCCTCTCATCGACAAGGTATGTTAGCTTTCCTTATACAGTTCAGAGATCCAGACTGATGCCGTCGAGGTTTACCGAACGCTCAAAACGAGAAACAACGACACTGGCCTTCCGGAATTCAGGATACCTCTCATGTTTCCCACAGCCATAGTCACACCCATCGGTCTTCTTCTATACGGCATAGGGGCACACTTCAAAATTCATTGGATCGTTCCAAACATCGGCGCAGCGATCCTGGCTGCGGGGCTGATTTTGTCTTTCCAGTGCGTACAGACGTATGTCATTGATTCGTATGAGCGATATGCTGCGAGCGCTGCTGGTGCGGCAGCATTCGTGAGAACCATGGCTGGCTTCAGCTTTCCTCTGTTTGCGCCGAAGCTGTACGATGTGCTCGGCATAGCATGGGGGAATGCGCTTCTATCTGGGATCGTTCTTGTGATGGGCATCGTTGTGCCGGTGGTCATGTGGAAGTGGGGTGCCTGGCTGAGGAGTAAGAGTCAGTATTGTGCTGGCTAGAAGGTACCCAACTTTTCGTGTGAGGCCCGCTCGCTGTCTCACAGTTGGACCTTACAATAAGTGTTCATCTGATTACGGATAAAATAGAAGTGCGGGTTCTTGGTCCTGAGTCTCTTTGATAACTCATGATGAGATGCGAGTTGGTCATGACTCTCATGAAGAGAGAAGGGGCAGTGAAAATCGACATGGGAGTGTTCGAAATGAACTCCATACGACTCACTCGCTAATGGCTGAAACTAGAACGCCCTCTCATTTGGCAAAACAAAGCTCTCAGATTTACAAATCTCAAACTCTTAATGCACCATGAACTCATCTCATGAACATTATGCGTCTTCTGTGATTAGGGTATAGGTCCAGTAGGTAATTACAACTCGTATGCTCACACGTGTGAGTAGCCAATGACAATACGCGTCCCGGGATATCAAAGCTGAAGCATAAACATCTCAATCTGACCATCATCATCCATGCCAATTCAATCCCTTAGATCGACGCCCTGGCAATGTTCTTGCCAGCGACCAGACCGGGACCCTTCTCCGTGAAGAACGTCTTGGCCTTCGCCGCGCTGACGATGAAGCCGGGAAGCTTCATCGTGTTGAACTGACCAGTCGCCTTCTTCTTGCCGATCGTGACGAAAATCTGGGGCTTGGTCGTCAGCTTGAGGTCCTTGACCTTGGCCTCCTGGCCGGTGAGGACGGCGTCGAGGTTGTCGGCGAGGTGCAGCGCCTGGCCCTCGGCGCGCATGAGCTGCTTGGCCTCGAGGTTGCCGGCGTCGCCGGCACACCAGACGTTCCTGAGGCCCTCGACGCGGAGGTCGTGCTTGAGCTTCAGGTTGCCCTTGTCGTCGAGCAGGTTCTCCGGGATGAAGGATGTGTTGGGGCGGACGCCAAAGAGGGGCAGGTACAGGTCCGCGGTGAGGGTTTCGCCGTTGGAGAGCTTGATTGACTTGAGGGAGCCGGAGGTGTCGGCCTCGGTGACCTTGGCGTTGGTGACGAGCTTCACCTTGAGCGAGGCCAGGCTGGTGGCAGCGATCTTGCCGAGCTTAGGGAGGAGGCCGGGGAGGGGCGCATCACCCTCGACGATGAGGGTGATTTGCTTGGTGGAGCCGTAGGCGTGGCCGAGCTCGCCGGCAGTCTCGACACCGGTCGCGCCGGCACCAGAGACAATAATGGAGTTTGCGGCCTTGACCTCGGACTGCAGGTTGTGCCAGGCAGTCAGGGTCTCCTCGTGGGTACCGACGGTCTTGAAGGGCAGGCCGCTGGCGAGGGAGGAGCCGGTGGCGATGACGAGCTCGGCAAACTCAATTGACTTGAGGCCCTCGTTGGTCTCGACCTGGACGGTGTTGGTGGAGGGGTCGAAGCTGGTGGCCTTGCCAAGGACGAACTCGAAGGCGTCCTGGGGGTACTTGTCGAAGCCGGGCTTGATCTGGTTGAAGAGGGTGTCGTCGGAGAACTCGCCGGGGATGAGGCCGCGGACGGCGGCGCAGTTCCAGTAAAGGTGGGTCGAGGGGGAGACGAGGATGACCTTGAGGTCCTTGACCTTGGGCTGCGTGTACTTGAGCAGCTTGTGAGCGACACCGAGGCCGGCATAGCCAGCACCCAGAATGACGACCTGCTTAACCATTTTGTTGGCGGGATGAAGAGTGTAAGGTTTGTTGAAAGAGAAGGAAGCGAATTGGTCTGGCGGGAATAACGCAGGTTATGGTGTTCCTCAAGGGAGAGATATGAAAGTCGTCGGCTCGTTGGGGTATTTAATCGGCGGCAGGCTAAGGAGCGGAACGGGGATGCCGTGGGGGAGTGCGGATGGTAGGGCGATGGAGAAGATGACAACGCCAAACGATGCGGGAAGAACAAAGGAAGTACGAAGAGATATGGGCGCAGCTGGGCTTGGGGGGAACGGAGGGGATAATGAATGTTTTTATCGACACAAAGGCAGAGGATTAATTAGCTGGCGCCTCGCAAAGTCTAGGACGGTACCCCATGTAAGCACAGAGGAAGCTGTACCACCACCGACCTCCCCCAATGTGAAGGAAGAGACTTCGGCCGAACAGTGACGGGGACACGCATTGCGGTTCGGGCTTTTCCTTTCTGGACCCTTCATGGACCAGCAATCCAATGTTTCAGACGAGGGAGCGCTCGGATTATTCAGCTATGGCGGGACAAGCGAGATTGATTTAGTCACCAGGCATTTTGCTTTTCGGGGGACAGTGGTCAGACCACGGGCAGGATTTCAGAGGTCAGATTCGGAGCCACGCGTTGGGAAAAAGCATCGCGAATCCGCATCCCATTGGGGACGGCATTTGGACAGGGATGGGGTGCCTTTGGTGTCTTTTGGTGCCTCTGGCGCTGGTGCGGCAGGGGTCCGACTGGCCGAGTCAAGGCAACGGCGCTGCGGGTGCCACGGCATTAGCGTAGCGCGCGCGGTGCGTGAAGGTCGAAGGCAGAGAGCAACCTGGAAAGATGGAGACGGAGTGGGTTCATGCTAAGCTTATTCTTGCACAAGAGAGTTTGTATGGAGACCTGCGGATGGAGTCATCTGAGAAGAACGAAGAGGTGCTGGGAGGAGACAGATGAGGCCATCGATATCCAATTAGTAAGTAAGTAAATTGGATCAAGGTGCGCGCACCCGCCGTACTGTGCCTAGCAGCGGGAGACGTCCCGTGTCGAGTGTTCACAGGCCATTTACCGGTCTCTCCCCTCTGTGCGACTCTCCAAGTCGGATCGAGTCTAGGCCCATGCCGCCGGTGCATTAGGGGAGCAGATCATTAACCAGGGGAGGGGCAGATACAGAGCCTGATGGCTTTCAACAAGAGCGCGAGAGAGCCTTAGTCAGGGGGTTGGGCGGCGCATTGGTAATACTCGCGCGCGGTAGTAACCCATATTGGAACGGGAGCATTCTGTCCCTTTTCTGCTAAGTTCTTTTGGACATAGCATCGTCTTAGACTGGACCAACATCGATGGATAGATGGCGTCGGCGCTGGGAAAGCCCGTTCGCCGCGTATTTTGCACTAATCGGGGCCTGGCTGGGCGGGGGGTCGGCGCCGGGCCACCTCGGCGCTCGGGACCGTGTGGGGCTGCTATATTTTGGGCGGCAGACACAGTACGGCGCTAACACCCGCACGGATGCCCTCGGCGCTTCTCTCACTCACTCTCTCACTCTCACTCTTACTCACTCAGTCACTCCCTCGCTTTGTTCTCTGGCCCGTCTTTCCAACAGAGTCGTCCATCAGTCCCGTCACTCTGGCTCCGTCTCTTGGCTCTGCCACGTCAAACGTTGATCATCGTCATGTCAGCTTAGAAGAACTGCTTGTCATTACAAACATAGGCTAGGGCTGACCACGAAGAGTCATCCAAGGTCTTCTTTCATACGGTGCCCAACAAGCCGCAATAACTCCCCCAATCTCATCCAAACTCACACCTTTCCATCCGAAAAAGAAGAACCAAAGCTTAAAGGAGCTCTGGCCAGTAAGCGCCGCATGCTACGTGGTCATCAAATCATCTCCAGTCTAACACCCTTGCTCCCCTTCTTCGGCATTGAGACAGCAAGGTCAAAATCATACTCCACGTCAACGTCTGTCGTCTCGTACAGTCGCATGTACGGCAGCGCGCGCAACACCACCACCGCGACCGCGACATGAAGCTCGCAGTACGCCAGCCTAGAATCAAAGCGTGCATTGGTCAGCAGGGGCTCAGACATCCATGTATGAATACTTCGGATCATGCGGTCCATGACCTCGGGGGAAACTTACTGCATTCCCAGGCATTGCCGACTTCCCTTCGAGAACGTGAGCAGGAACCGCTCCAGCCCCTTCTTTCGCTGGCCGTTCTCGTCGAGCCACCTCTCCGGGAGGAACTTGGAGGGCTCTGGGAAGAGCCGTTCATCCGTGTGCATGATATACGCCGACATGCCGTACGCATAGCCCCGCGGAATGACGTGAGAAACATCGACCGGCGCCGATCCGCCCGGAGGTGTCCACGTGCCTTGGTATACCACGTCTTCATCGGGTGCGACTCTAGGCAGTCTTGACGGCGACCCGTACATCAGCCGGAGAGATTCCATGAGGACAGCGTTGAAATATGGGAGGCTTTCAAGTGTCGCCCAGCTGGGAAGCTTCTTGGGGTCGGCATTCACGGTTGCAAGCTCTGCCTTGATCTTGGCCACGGCGTCTGGATTTCTGAGCAGATGATATGTGCATATGGTAAGAGCCGATGCCGTCGTCTCAGTTCCCGCAGAAAGGAACACATTTGCTTCTCCGGCTAGTCGTTTGACGGTGAGTTCTTCCGGTGGCAGATCCGACTCGAGCAACGAGTGCAGCACCGTCACGCGATCTCTTTTGATGCCGTTTTCATGCCTTGCTTTCGTTTGCCTGACCAGCTCTGGGAGCTTGATTTTGACCGTTTCCATGAGGAGCCCAATCTTGGCAGAGAGCGGTTTGATCACCCAACTATTTCCCGTCAGTCAGTCACGGTCTTTCAATTGCTCGAACCCATCCACCACCTCTGGGCGTTCGGTTGCTTACACTGGAATCATCTCCATCAGTTTTGTCGTCCATGGGAAGTGTCTCATGATGTGAATCAAATGAAACATGGTGTAGACAGCTTCTTTAAAATTCGGTTCCCACGTGGGCTGCTGGAGAAACCCGAGCCCCTCGCCAAAGCAGTAATCGCTGACGATGTCGGCAGTATAGCAGCTGTATGCGGAGGCGCCATCGAATGGACCTTGTCCGCGATAGGCAAGGAATTTATCTGCTAACCGCTGCGCATGTTGGTGAACCACCCACTCGAGCTTCTGAATCTGGGTGCGCGAGAAGTATTTGCTGGCAGCTGCTCGTCGGAGCTTGTGATGCGCGTGGTCTACAGTTCCGAAGCCTCCCTGTGGTACATGTCAGAAGCTAACTCTCAAGTTGTCATTCATTGGCTGCGTACGTTTCTCAGACTTGAGGTCAAATGTTAGCACATTTTCATGTAGCAGGGGACATGTTCCCAAACGGAGTTCAAGACCAACTCACTCATTAGCAAAACCAGCGACAAACATTTCTGATTTGTTGCGCTTCTTCGCGCCATTCGCATAGATGGCTTCCACGAACTCTGGGTCATTGCAATGCACCTCGTCAGGGTTGATCCGGACGATGGGACCTGGACAGTTTCGTTAGCCAAGCTCCCCACGTCGCCAACGAAACCTCATACCATAGATCTCATGCATTCGCTTGATCTCGTGAGTGAACCGGCCCCAAAGCACCACATCATACCATACTTCGTACCAAAACGTTGCTCCGGCAAGCTTCGGTCCGGGAAACTTTGCCAGCGGGTGGAGCGTGACGCGGTAGATGGCAAGTAAGCCTCCGTAGAGCAGCCACAATGCGAACCCGACACCAAGGAGCTGGGGCCACGAAACGCCTGCCCAGGAGATGTCTGGCACCAAACGAATTCCGTCCATTGTTGCTTTGGATGAGTGAGAGTTGAATGAAAGCATCCCCTCGAGGCAAGAGGATGAATGAGGAGGGCCCCATGTTCTAAAGTAGTGGACTGCAAAAGTTCTGATCTGCCGGACCTGTCTTGCGTGTGTTCAATGGCATCAAAGGAGAAACTCAACGTGCTAAAGGACCGGCGACGCCCGCAGCAGCCCCGACATGTGCTCTTCTCGTGCTATCGGCAGCCACCGTGCAAGCTGCTCCTGGCTTAGTGTTTCGCCACAAGAGGCGTCGTGGGCTCGACTCATTTTCCGAGGTGAGAGCCCGCGACTGGATCTATTACTGCACTGTTGGAGCATGCAACTAGATCTTTCCCGAGACTTCGCTTCAAGCTAGATGCACGAAATCAAGGCCTGGTACATGCATTCGGTATGCATGATTCTGGCGATTGCGACGAGGACCTGCAAAAGTGGCGTGTCAATGACCATCATTACCGGCTTCCTGGGTTCGGGTCTCATACACGACGTCTTTGATGGGTTGAAGCGACGGAAATGATGTGCAGAGAACTAAGGAGGATGTCTCAGTCCCGAGTGGTCTAACAGCAAGCTAACAGCGGGCTGAGCACACCGTCTCCGTCGGTGGCTTGGCCCCCAGGAATCTAGATCTTGGTCAGGGCGAATCATTGAAATGGCTAGGCACTAATCCTTAGGCACCATGCAGACAGGGAAATCGCTTTTCATTCTCTCCTCGTCGTGGCATCGCGGGACAGGGAGGTGAGTTTGACTCTCGCAGGGTACATGAGGCATCCAATCGCGTAAACATCGGATTGAATCTAAGAAGTAGTTGTATTGTCATCTATTCGAGTCGCACAACATATCTAGCCGTTGACATGTCTCTAATTTCCATCGTTCACTACAATCCCTTTACCCGCGCCAGGGCTGCAGACGACACAGCAGCATGAATTTCCGTCTCCGCACCGTCTTCCAAAGGCAAGAGAGGTGACCTCACAGTTGCATGGTCGAGAATACCCCGCGCAACAAGCGCATGCTTCAACGCCACGGTGCCCTCCATGTGCGATCCCCTGTGGTACACGGCCTTGGTGACGGGCAGCAACCTGTCGTGGATCTCGCGGGCCTTCGGGTAGTCCTTTGCCTTGCCGGCCTTGATCATTTCAATGAGCTGCTCTGGCGCAATGTTGCCGTATCCAACGAGCATGCCATCAACGTCGAACACCGTGTGGAGGAGGTACTCGTCGTGGCAGGTGAGCACCTGCAGGTCGGGCCGCTCCCTGCGGATGACGGGGATCTCCGTGTCCCAACGTCTCATGTTCCTCACGCCGTTCTTCATGGCGAACACGCCGGGCTGCGCCGAGATATCGAGGAGAGTCTGGAGGTTGTACGTCGCCTTGGTGTTGTCGGGATACTGGAACAGGATGAGGGGCAGCCCGCTGACCTCGTAGACGACTTTGTAGCGGTCCTGCGGGGCTCCGGGCTGGTATCCGAAACGGAGCCAGCCGTGCGAAGGGTACAGCAGGCCGGCTGCGGCACCGGCTTCGCGGGCGCGCTTGGCCTCGAGGGCGGCGACTTCGGTGCCCTCGCCGGTGATGCCGGCAATGATGGGGATGCGGTTGTCGACGGACTTGACGAAGGCCTTGATGACGGCGACCTGCTCATCTTGCGTCAGGAAAGTGCCCTCGCCTGCATGGCCGAGAACGACCAAGCCCTTGACGCCGGAAATGCTGCCGAGCCAGGAGCCGAGACGCTGAATGGCAGCGTAGTCGACCTTGCCGTCCCTGGTGAAGGGAGTGATGGGGGCGGGCGTAAGGCCGCGGAGGTCAAGGCTAACCGATTGAGAACCCATTTTGATCTGATTCCTTGTGAATGGAGAAGTGATTATGGCTTGATCAGTGTCGAACGGGGTTGATTTGCTTGCGGTGAAGATGAGACCAGCTTGATATCGGTCACATCTTGTCTGTTTTATAATGCGAAGAGCCTCTCAGGATAACACTCGCGGCGACAACCTCGCGCTTCACGAAAAGCCGAAGTCGCGTCTTTCGACACTGAAGCGCCTCCAGCAGTTTCATGTAACGATGTGCCACCCGGAAAGCATGACCGTGTAGGTTGTTGATCCTCCCCCGCTTCCCCGCGTCTCCGGGGCGGGGGGCCAAGTTTTCCGGGAAGAGTCCGGACACCAAGTCCGAGATAACTCGGAATAGCGACTCGTGACCTGGAAATACCAGCGCCACCACGCCATGCAGCAAGCCCTGGGCTGTTTCTCGCGCCCTAACCGGGTCTTGGGGAGATAACGGATCGTTCTTGACTGGAGAAGATGGAATGTGACCCCATCCCCACGCAACGCTTGTGTCATAGTCGATGCACCCCGGAAGTTTGTTGTAATAACAAGTGGTAAAAGATACCCAGCTAAGTGGCTCAAAGTGGATGACTCCCTGGCATGATACGACTATTGAGGAATTGGCTTCAATGCTTTGCGCCTGATTGTCATGTTTTGTATATTTCCGAGTGCAATAGTATTCCGGTTCTCCGGGTCTCCTCAAATCGTATGGTCTTACGCTAGATGGGACTAACAGAATTTTTATCCGAGTCCTTTTGTGCGGAGGACACCGGCGCCAAGAATATTTCCCCAGATTCCTCCTTGTTTATCCCCGCAACTCCAGCTCAGCTCGGAACATTCTGGGCAGACCAATCCCCTTTCCCCAGGTAATCTCCCCCAGACAAGTTGTCGAGGAGTCTTCTGGCTATAAAGAAGACTCACGTTAACATCTCCTCTGGCCAATTTGCCTTCTGCCGGACACAAGGTGTGATTTTGGCCATCCTCTTTATCTTGCCTAGAGGACATACTACTCTTGAAACACTTCCTTTTGCCCTTGCAGCCGTCAACATGACGACTGTACGAGCATCGTCTGACCGCTCCGACATCGAGCACGTTTCTCAAGAGAAGAACTCCGTTGCCCATAATGAGTTCCAACAAAACAGCGGCGTGAGCCCTGAGGATGCAGACTTCCTCGCCAATTTCCCGGACGAAAGGAGAAAGAAGGCTGTCCGCAAAGTTGATGTGAGTCTTGACCCCGACTAGTCCTCTCGCTCTGCGTACCTAGTACTGACGACTGTTGAATTCCTAGTTCCGTTTAGTCCCAATGCTTGTTCTACTCTACCTAATGGCCTATCTGGATAAAACCAACATTGGAAATGCCAAGATCGAAGGTCTCCTTGATAGTCTGCATATGACGGGAGTCGATTACAACATCGCGTTGTCCGTCTTCTTCATCCCGTTTGTCTTGGCCGAAGTCCCCAGTAACATGGTGCTGCACATGTTCAAGAGACCCTCTCTCTACATTGGCGGAATCGTTACTTGCTGGGGTATTGTCATGACTTGCAATGGAGTTGTCCAAAACTTTGGGGGCTTGGTTGCCGTGAGGATTTTCCTCGGTCTGTTCGAGTACGTATACGTGGACCGAAAAGATCTCATCAAAACTGACGAAACATTCCAGAGCCGGTTTCCTCCCTGGTGCGATCCTGATCATCTCCAAATGGTACCTCCCCAACGAGACACAAACCCGAATTGCTATTCTCTACACCTCTGCCGCGTCTGGTGGAGCGTTTTCAGGTCTCCTGGCGTTTGCGATTGCCAAGATGGATGGTGTGGGTGGATATGAGGGCTGGAGATGGGTAAGTTGGCTTCGTCCTTACAGATTATACAAATTCTCTGACAAAACAAGATTTTCATCCTCGAAGGGTTAGCCACGGTAATGATAGGTGTCATGTGTTTCTTCTTCCTTGTCGATTCGCCTGCTCTATCAAAGTGGCTCGATCCTGAAGAAATCCGCTTTCTGGAACTACGACAACAAGCCCGGCGGGTTGTGCGACCCAACGAATTCCGAGACCATCACTTCGATAAGCACGCATTCCTCTCCGTGTTGACGGACTGGAAGATCTATCTCCTAATCTTGGCCAATTGGTCGAACGTCAGTACAACGACTCAGTAGCCCCGTACACCATCGTTGGACTTCACTGACTCTCGAGTTCAGGCTGTTCCAAATTACGCACTCAAGTTTACGATGCCTCAAATCATCAAAAACATGGGCTTCACATCTGCCAACGCCCAGCTGTTGACGATCCCGCCGTATGCTGTGGGTGCTATATCCGCGTATCTGTTTTCAGTGTTTGCGGACAAGTATTCTTGGCGAATGCCGTTCATCCTTGGCCCGCAACTGCTCCTGGTTATTGCCTTCACCATCCTGTTCACTAAGAGCGAGGACATTAAGGACAACATTGCTCTGAACTACTTTGCCATTTGCCTAGCGTGCTTCGGGTACGTCATATGCACATTGAAAACATCAAGTATACGCAGGAAGAAACTAACAGGAATGTGTCCAGAATGTACCCCATTCTTCCAGGAGTCAACGCCTGGAACGTCGCCAACACTCCGAGTCCTACCAAGCGAGCAATCAGCATCGGCTTCCTCGTCTGTATCGGCAACATTGGTGGCCTCATCGGTAGCTATATCTACATGGACAAGGAGGCTCCGAGGTACCCGACCGGGTATGGGACTTCATTCGGATTTGCATCGGCAGGAATAATTGCGGTCATTACGCTGGAGGCATTGTTATATAGAAGGAACAAGAAGAAGGAGCTCATGACTGAAGACGAAGTCAGACAAAGACATTCCGACGAGGAACTTGATCGCATGGGAGAAAAGAGCCCGCTCTTCAAGTATGCTCTGTGAGCATTGGGTGTTGGCTGGAATTCAATCTGTGTCTTTTTTCTTTAATTAATCTCATCGCTCCCGGTGGCTTGCACTTGATCGCTAGTAAATCTACCTAGTAGTTAGCTTCGATTGTGCCCTGACTCAAAGACCAGATACCGCCAGACCGTGCCCTGAACGGCACTTGCCTTGTTCGATTGCTTTTGACAAAGAAAGCGGAAGATATCTTATCCTGTAAGACGTTTCAACGTAGACACTCATCCTAATTTTGGGCCCGCAAAGCCGTCCGCGCACGAGAGGTCCG